TGTCACATAGCCTGCTAGGGGGAGAAATACACAGAATGATCCATGTCACATAGCCTGCTAGGGGGAGAAATACACAGAATGATCCATGTCACATAGCCTGCTAGGGGGAGAAATACAGAGAATGATCTATGTCACATAGCCTACTAGAGGGAAAGAAATACAGAGAATGATCCATGTCACACAGGCTGCTAGGGGAGAAATACAGAGAATGATTTATGTCAAATAGCCTGCTAGGGGGAGAAATGCAGAGAATTATCCAGGTCACATAGACTGCTAGGAGAGAAATGTAGAGAATGATCCAATGTCACATAGCCTGCTAGGGGAGAAATACAGAGAATAATTCATGTTACATAACCTACTAGGGTGAGGGAGAAATACAAAGAATGATTAATGTCACTTAGCCTGCTTGGTGTGAAATAGAGAGAATGACCCATGTCACATAGCTTGCTAGAAGGGGAGAAATACAGAGAATAATTCATGTCACATAGCCTGCTAGGGGGAGAAATGCAGAGAATGATTCATGTCACATAGCCTGCTAGGGGGAGAAATGCAGAGAATGATCCATGTTACATAGCCTGCTAGGGGAGAAATGCAGAGAATGATTCATGTCAAATAGCCTGCTAGGGGAGAAATGCAGAGAATGATTTATGTCAAATATCCTGCTAGGGGGAGAAATGCAGAGAATTATCCAGGTCACATAGACTGCTAGGAGAGAAATGTAGAGAATGATCCAATGTCACATAGCCTGCTAGGGGAGAAATACAGAGAATAACTTCATGTTACATAACCTACTAGGGTGAGAGAAATACAGAGAATGATCCATGTCACATAGCCTGCTATGGGGAGATATACAGAGAATGATCCATGTTACATAGCTTGCTACAGGGAGATATACAGAGAATGGCCATACAGAAAGAGTCTGTAGAGAACAAATATGTACCACGAGAAGTGGTATCAAAGTGGATATGCTCTTCACCCAGAGTTTCAGAAAATTGAGAGGGGTGGAATATAATTCAAGTATGATGGTACAGCCCAGACCGAACAGTGAGGTTCCACAACTCAGGTTGGATTTAAGGGGTCATGGCACCCATATTCCACGTTGGTGGCCAGGTCAGTTGGACCGCAGATAAATATATCTTTGTGATAGGAACCCTACCAGTAACCACAGAATGATGTTCTTGAACAATCAGATTTATGAAAGAAAGAAAGCAAAACCAAAATGGACAATCCTTCTGATCAACCTGAAGTGGTCCAAAAGGCTACATCCCAGGTCTGGATTGACGGGATCATATCCCATACTTCACCAAAGTCCAAAACTCATCCAGTCTAGTTTTATAAAGAGTTGTCTTTATTCCCCCCACCAAATGAGCAAGGAGAAGTTTGCTTACCCATGGAATTATGGGAATGATGTGGAACTCTGTCCCACCAAAGACCAAAGATGGGACCACATCACATTTGGATTTACAAAGAGATAGTGGATCCCCTGCATGAACAACATAAGACCTGATACTGTTCATAAAATGGTCCAAGCAACCCCCACCAGATATCTAAGCATCAAATCTAAACTGGTATTATGAGTAGGCTCCCACATAGGTTGGTCCTGCTCCTACCGACATCCATGAAAAATCTTCCAAAGACACATGTAGGAGAGTCCCCAACTTCACTCTCTTCTCCGATAGTGGAGAAAACTCAACACTCTGAAGGAAAATCCTCTGTCCACCACCCCAGTGACTAAGAACTGGGTGTGGTAAGGACTCCCAAGCTCCACTAGTACATGTAAGGAGAGAACATAAGCGTTGGAGAGTCCTGATGAACAGGTCTCTGGAGACAGTGAAACAAGTGAACCACATTCCCTAATTTTTAAAAGCAAACTGATCTCGACTGATTCAGCTCTAAGATCAGCAGGGACTGGCAAAATTCCCTTTAGCTTTACTCATGATAGTTCACGAGTAACGGTCCATTAGAAATATTGTAATATGATATCACCATCCAAAATTGCATCCAGATAGTCTTATGGAACACCTCATCTCAACAGAGTCCATTGCAACCAGGAACCGATATAAAGGTTGCTAGTGTGAAACTTAAACACAAGAATACCTGACTGGGAAACAATTGCCACTGAATGGGATCCAAAAGAAATCAATAGGGACCCTACAAGAGAAAAGAACAATAACTGTATTTCTAGGAAAAAAACAAATTCAAAGAAATATATCTCTGAATAACAAAACAAATAATTCCTGATTATTAGAAAGCGAAAACTAAGAAAATGTGTATCACAAAACGTTAGTCTGAATGCTCGTGCTTTGTGAGAAAAAGTTATCTTATTGTCTGCATACAGTGCTTATATATAGTACCTGGATAGAGGGCATGTGAGGGCTGGCTTAAAGTTTTGGAAATTAGATATTGATGAGTGCAGTCGGGTGGGGTATGTAAAGAATAGAGCAAGAGAACACAATGTTAGATGGCAAAGGTGAAGATCGAGAAATAGCTATTAGTGTCAGTGGAGGTATGTATGTTTTGGAATGAGCATATATATCAAGCAA